TATCAAGGACAGTAGGAGCCATCATCCCACATCTGAATTAAAAGAAATTGAAAGCAGGATTCCAAAAACAAAAGGCAGCAGGTATTAAAAAAGGGTCCTTTGAAATGGTAAACCTGGATAATTGAAAGGCGTCGAAGAGATAGAGCTCATGAAGATCCAGTGTCTTATCAGGGACGACCCGATCATACCATTCCTCCCACTCTGGTCTCACTGTGGGCCAGCAGTGATAGGGTCGGTTCATCCTCCAGCTTCCCCAATCAATACCACCTTCATAAAGAAGGAAATGATCTTCTAGGCGAGGATACAGAGCTGAGAGCTCAGTGGGAATCTCCTTAAAAATAGGCCCAAGCACGTATTCTTGTTGCTCATGGCGACGGGGAATGAAGATGCGTTTGTCGATGGCACTTTTCTCACCAGCCTTGTATTTCTCACACTCTTCATTAATAATCCTTTTCAAGGCCACGGACGGACTCGCACGTTCCACAACCAGTATTTTCAAGGAAGAAGAAGCCATTTATAAAAGTTTTTTTAGAAGACGAAGTTGGGAAATAGAGTAAAGGGAAAGAAAAAGCCAACAGAAGATGAAGGGTTTGGGTTTGTGTGTTAGACGACCAAGTGAATTGGGAGCACAAAATAAAAGGATTTTTAAACCTTTTTGTTTAAAAAACACTCAGTCGTTTTATGTGGGCGGAATTCATAAAGAAGTACTAAAGGTACGGGTGTGAAAAGTTTCCTTCAATATTGATAGTTATGGAGGGAAACAGATCTCAAATACTAATATTAGCTTCGAAATAAAATGTGTGGCTTCGAAGCCAAGTTTCAGTGCCTAAATCAAGTGACAAACAGCTTCGAAAGAAGGAAGTTGACTTCGAAGCACATTCCACACCTAAGGGTGTAGGAATGCCCAGGTATTTGTTTACTTCAAAAGGATTAAAGACCTGTTTTTAGGTTTCTTGATGTGAGTAAAATCCTTCGAAGAAAAATTTGAAATACCTTATGGTTAGAGTTTGTTTGTTCTAGGTTTCAAACCAATAGTTGGTTAGTAAAATCCTTTGAAGCAAAATTTAAAATCCTTTATAGAAGTTTTTTCAGAAGACGAAGTTGGGAAATAGAGTAAAGGGAAAGAAAAAGCCAACAGAAGATGAAGGGTTTGTGTGTTAGGCGACCAAGTGAATTGGGAGCACAAAATAAAAGGGTTTTTAAACCTTTCTGTCTAAAAAGCACTCAGTCGTTTTATGTGAGCGGAATTCATAAAAAAGTACTAAAGGTACGGGTGCGAAAAGTTTCCCTCAATGTTGATAGTTATGGAGGGAAACGTATCTCAAATATTAATATTAGCTTCGAAATAAAATGTGTGGCTTCGAAGCCAAGTTTCAGCGCCAAAATCAAGTGACAAACAGCTTCGAAAGCAGGAAGTTGACTTCGAAGCACATTTCACACCTAAGGGTGCAGAAAATCAAGTGACAAACAGCTTCGAAAGAAGGAAGTTGACTTCGAAGCACATTCCACACCTAAGGGTGTAGGAATGCCCAGGTATTTGTTTACTTCAAAAGGATTAAAGACATGTTTTTAGGTTTCTTGATGTGAGTAAAATCCTTTGAAGCAAAATTTGAAATACCTTACGGTTAGAGTTTGTTTGTTCTAGGTTTCAAACCAATAGCTGGTTAGTAAAATCCTTCGAAGCAAAATTTGAAATACCTTACGGTTAGAGTTTGTTTGTCCTAGATTTCAAACCAATAGTTGGTTTAGTAGTATACAAAAGGAATCGCTTTTTTAGAATAAGACAGTGCTGTCCTTAAAAGAGGTTTTTATATTTTGGAAAATATAGACTATTTGTTCGAAGCAAAATTAATTGATTTGAAACTGCTTGATTGTATTAACCATATGTTGGGGAATTGGATATGATCAAATCAAGTTTCAAAGGGCAAAATTAGTGAATTCGAAGCCTTAATTTTGTTTGTTTTTGACAAATGGGGTGAAATTAGACCATGCCAAATAAAGAGAAAACATCTTAGCTTTATTAAAACAAAAGCAATTACATCAGAAGCCTTTTTTGGCTACATATTCAAGTTCATAAAAATAAGGAATAGAGTAAATGACAAGGTCATGGAATTTGTTCCAACTATAGTTAATGAACTTCTGTTCTTTTTTAATTATATCTTTTATCTTCTCCAGGCTAGGCTGCTGAAGTTGATATGCTCTTATTTGATAAAAAAGTTTTTCGGCGTTTATTTAAACTCTGTTTCTTTCAACCCTTGTTCTATCTTATCCATGTCCAAGTCAACCCAGTATGCAGAGTCTTTATTCTTAAAATCATCATATTCATCGATGAGGTTCTCTGCTTCATACTGGGTATGAACTCGACGGGCTAAGATTTAGTCCAAAGATCGAGTGGTGGCCGCAGAAATTTGATGCCAATGATGAAGCAGTGGGAGTTGGTCTAAAAACATCTGGAGCTCTGCTTGGGCGATAGGGTTAAGGACATGACCCCGGGTCATAACATCACAAGCCCATCGAAAGTTCTTAAAAGGAACATCATCCTCGAGAACATTGAAAGGCAAGCGAGAAAAGGCTGCAAGTAAAAGTTGGGCTTGATATTGCTGAAATATAGTAGGGGGAGATGGTGGGCTATAGGAGGGGAGCAACTGGTCTTCAAAGAGAGTAAGTCTCAGTTCCTCCATCCAGTGAGGGTTTTGCGGAAGAGGAGGTGCAGGAGCTTCCATCTCGAAAGAAGAAGGGAATTGAGGGTTTCTAACATAATCAAACCAGTTAGAAGAGCAAAGTTTTGCCTTCTGGGCTAAGAATGATGGGCTATACCCTTGAGCTTCTTCTAGACGACGAGTGGCTTGTACTATCTTCGTGGGCATGGAAAATGTGTACCGTGCTACAAGTAAGTTGTCTTCCAAATGGCGTTAAAAGTCGATAGGTACATATGGGTAAACCATCGAGCTTCGAGCAAAGGGAGGGAAAGTTAGAGGATCAACAAATTCAACAAAATGATGATTGATTCGCTCTCTTAACTTGGACTCTTTAGGTTCTGGCCAGCTTCTCCAACCAGAAGCCCCAGAAGAAGAAGAAGCTGCAGCCTTATCCCACGCAGAAGGTTTTAGGTAAGAAAAAGAGCTTCCAATATCCATGTTTGCAAAATTTTGGGTTAAAGAATTGTGGACAATAGGTTCGTAATCCAAAGGTTGATAGTTTGCAAAAGCTTCCATGACTTGAAAATAAGAAGGTAGGTAAAAGGGGCTAATCAATGCATGAAGGTTCTTTCGAGGACGAACAACATTATCAAACGACTCTTCATATGCTTGATCGAGGTAAGAAAAGGTTTGCTTGGCCATGAAAGTTGTACCAGTCTTTTCGAATACTGAGATAGTGGGAATGTTCAAAGGATATAAGAGAATTTAATGCAAATGTTTCATTAATGAATGACGATTGCATTTCTGAAAAAAATGCAAAGCCTATGCACGTTCTAAGACGTGGATAAAATACCTTGATCCACTAATATCACCAAGTATTGGGTATATTAGTGCGGGGGGTAATGTTGGCTACATATTTTGTATAGGCCAATCACAGTTCAACACGTGGCAGGATGAGGGCAATACGGGAAGACAATTCAAATCTTCAATCGTAATCACACACATGGTAGTTAGTATTGGTTATTGTGGATCTGCATAGCACTGGATCAGTAAAGAGATACAAGATGACGTGGCTTTAATAGTTACTTGAATATTTAAATTCAAAATTAGGAGGGAAGCCTAACTGCAGACATGGCGTAGTGGAGCTAACTATGAGGAAACATGATCAGCGATCATGGAGGGATGATTCGACAGTTAGAAACTCATTTCGACGGTTATCATTGAGAAGTATAAATAGTAGAGAAGGCCCCAGAAAGAAGGCCCCAGACTCAGATTCAAAAACCAGTTTTTATCTACTTTATTTTCTTTCCAGTTTTTACATTTCTTGTTCTTTACATTTCTGTACTTCAAATTTCTGCACTGCACTTCGTTCATAGGAGTAGTTTCAAGTAGTTTGTTGCTATAAACCTCTACGAGGCTGAATTGGATTATTGTAAGTATTTCATTTTTACTTAATGAAATGCTACAATTGTTCTTCATTTAAATCGTTGTTTGCTTAATTCTCCTAAACAAAGTTGAAAGAACTGAAACACAATCGTCTGATAATTGGTTGACAATTAATCTTCTGTAAGGACTGATTGATCGTTGCTGGCATGCCTAAAATTACAATTATAACCTTGGAAAGCCAAAAAAGCCAACATCAGGCCTGTTGGGTTCGTAGAGTCCACCAAGGGTCCTGTTTCGATAATTTGAATTGTTCAATGTGTAAATCTTATCGAGTACTTTATCCATGTAAAAAAATCATATTGATCAAATATCGATAGCTACTTAATCGAATTAGATTTTTGTTAGCAATTTATTTTAAAAATTATATTTACCGTTGATAGAAATTTGAATCGATCAAGTAGTTATCAATATCCGATCAACGTGATTTTAACCGAAATAAAGTATTCAATGAGTTCTACACATTGAATGATTCGGATAATAGAAACAGGATCCATAGTGGGCTCTCATAGGTCCAACAACATGCTCCAATCCAATCTCGAACTGGAGAGAAGCTTGACCCATAATTAAAAGTGTACTGAAAAAAGAAAAATTAAAGACATAGGATCATGTGCAGTAAGACAACACAAATTTTCATAATTTTCGTTTGTCCAAAACCCACATCTTCAAATTCGGATACATAATTAACAAAATCTTACACAACAAAAAACAATTCATATTCTCCCACCAAAGTAACAGACTAAGCCCAAAAGGCGTCCGGATCCTCTAGAGTCATTTCCTAAAGTGATCCTCTAAAGTGTTCTTTTATATCCCGACACGTGTCCTATTGATGGAACCAATGGCTGAGATGATCCCTCTCCAAAACGACGTCGTTTTGGTTGCCAACCCAATTTTTTTTTTTCTTCTCAGTTTGCAGATTCAGTTTGCAGAGATTGATTCCAAACTCATTTCCCAAACTCATTTTGCAGAGATTTTGATTTTTTTTGGCAAAGATCTAATTTTGGGTATTGAAGAGATTGAAGTTGAGAAACTCATTTCCTAAACTCATTTTGCAGATATTGATTCCAAACTCATTTCCCATGGAAGGTGAGAAACAGAAGGTGGGTAACAATGAAGTTGTAGTCTCCATTTTGGCTATTGAAGAAACTTCAAGGAGAGACCAAGACAATTAAAGTGGGAGTTCTAAAAGTCTCACAACACTGGAATCTGGGTCATCATCTTTTCCAAAGAATGCCCAAACAGGTTCTTCTAATGCTGGATTAACAGAGCTTCAAATGTCCACACTTCTAAACTCTTCTTCTCCAGAGATAACCAAATCATGCACAACACCAGATAGGCCTCTCAAAATCCCAGATGAAAATGTTACTCGACGAAGATCAATTCCACGGTCTGCGTATTCGAAACCCAAATCAAGAGTTTCTCAACTTCATTGTTAGAGATTGATTCCAAACTCATTTTGCAGAGATTGATTTTTTTTGGCAAAGATCTAATTTTTTGAAATCTCTATGTCCTCTAGTTTTTTGCTCTCTATTCTTCAAAAAACTCACTTTAATCTCTATTCTTCAAGAAGCTTCAAGGACAGATTTTGCAGAGATTTTGATGGATTTGAGAGATGAAGAAGAAAATGGGTGGATTTGCAAAGAAACCCACATGAAAATTGATTTGGTGTCATCTATGGCCATGAACTTCCTGAGAGCAATAAACAGAGAAACCCAAAGAACATTTCAACCCAACTATAGATTTCAACCCAACTATAAACAGACCAAAACAATAAACAACCCAAATCAAGATCCATAAAGAAACCAGTAGATCAAGAACGCTAATACCCATGAAGAAGAAGAAAAAGAAGATGAGAGTGAAGAGATGGAAATCTGAAACACAACCCTTTTCTTTCTCTCTTTGTCTCTATGTGTGTCTCTGTACTGTTTCATATAAGATCTGCAGAAATTTCGAATTAAAGTTTTTTTTGGAAAATACTCACCAAAACGACGTTGTTTTGGTGAGTTTTATTCTCAGTCGTCGGATTAAACACTTTAGGAGATTACTCTAGAGGATTAACTCTAGAGGATCCTTACGCACCCAAAAGGCCTTGTAAGACACAACAATAACAAAACTCTCCTTGTAATGAACAATTCAAATTAAATATATATAGAACTTAGAAGAGTTCACTTTTCGACAACTTTAACCAGAATGAAAAGTTCATCATATCCACGCTCAAGCTCTCCATCATGACAGTTTCCATGAGTCCACAGTTACTAATTGCTTCCATCTTCTTGTAGTTTTCAAGTCCATGCTTGGGTTTGAATGGGCAGGAAGAGATGGGAAGGACTGGAAGGTTGTCGCAATTGCAGATTTCGATCATGTACCCATCCGGGTCGTGGAAGAACACTTGATCCACCTGGATCCCTCCTTCCTCCACCACCGCCGTTGCGTATTTCATTCCCAGTTCTTCCAGCCTCCTCTTCACCAGTCCAACATCACTGCACTGTCACAAGATATACCAGAATTTTCATCATCATTATTGTTCATGCATATTATCACAATACAACAAAACTATGATTTAACTTAAGCTTAATTAGGTTAAGCATATTGATTTTTTAACCTTTTGATATTGATACACTATAGTATAAAATGATGGGAGTTTTTTTTTGTTTCAAAAGTTATCTCAATTTTTTTAAAAAATATTACTCGTAGTTTATTTTTTCAATTTGCCCTCACAAAAATTTTTGAAAATATTATTTCTATAATAGCTTTTGCAAATTGTCTGTGTATTGTATATATATGTATATAAAATTTTTCACGTAAGATTTTAGATATCAGATTGCCAAATAAGAAGATTATGTGCATGGTATCACCTTATCGAACAAAATTTTCTGGTTCTACCATTGTAATCTGATACTACCAGTTCAATTACTATAAATTTTTATTTTTTATTTTTTTATTTTAACGATTGAAAACATTTAAAAATTTAAAATGCTTGTTATTCCCGATATTGTTATTAATCCAACTAAATACCATTTTGTTATTTAAAACCTTGGTTAAACAAAAAATTGAAGAAGCTTGAGTGGCTATTTTAGTAGACTATTTGGTTTTTTGGCTATTTTAGTAGGCTATTTTAGTTTTTGTGTTTGGGAAGTTGAGATGAATTTTATTTGAGTTGTTGTATTGAAAAATATGTTGAAATGATGTTTGAAATTAGAATGACAAATTTGCCCCTAAAAATATATTTTTTTAAATTGTTGTCAAGGGATAAAACTGTAATTTACCATCTAAAAATCAAATTTTGTAGCTGACAGTGCCGCTGTGCAGGCCCTTTTTTTTTTTTTTTTTTTTTTTGAAAAAACTTGCAAAATGGCTTTTTGGCTAAAAAAATTTTTTAGGCTATAATAGCCGGCCAAATCACTTCCCAAACAGCGCCATAGTAGTTCTTACTTGAAAGGATATGTGGTTATCCTTGGGATTGATGGGTCGTGGTTCATTCATGGTGTTGTACTCATCAATGGACTCATTTTCAAGCAAGTGTATCCCAATTCCATAATTGAATAACCTGAAGGGAAAGAAAAAAAATCATACAAGGTGGTTAGTAGCTTGATAAATAGTGATTGATAATTTAATATGTATGAAGAAAAAGAGAAGCTCTGTTTTGGTCGCTTAGATGAACAACTAAAGAACAAAATAATGAATTGAGTTTTTCTCTTGAAGAATGATTCCCAAATACAATTTTTTAATTCAATAATTTCATTGTTGGAAAGAAAAAAAAAAAGAAAAAAAGAAAAACTCATCTCAAATTATGTGAGAGCGATGAGTCAGGATTATAGTTGTGTTTTAATTTTTGAAATGAATATACCATACAAGACCACTTGATTCACTCATTTTTATAGAGAATTATCTATTAATAAAAAATGTGTTTGAATAAAGTCGCTATTATTCTTTGTCTTAATACATTTCGGTCATAAAATCATATGAAAATCTCAAAGACGAGAATGGATTGTGATAGAAAAATAAAAGAATTTGGAAACTTAGGATTCCGTGCCTAAACAAAATTATATATTGAGATTGTGTTTGATTGGCAAATAAGAAAGTAAGATTAGATTAAATACATTCAAGATAAAATAATCCAGCCCTTGGTTCATATTTTATTCAGAATAACTAACTTAATTTTGAGGGGATTTCCCCCTTCATATGTAGGTTCATTTTATTTCAGAAAAATAATGGGACAACTTATCCGAAATTAATCCTAGAATAATTTCCATCAAATCGTGCTTACAAATTAAATGCAGACAAAATAGTTTCTTTATTTATTTATAATTAAGTAAATAAACTAATTTATGTGCATCTCGACTAATAATTTAAAAGAAAAAGAAAGGACAAAAGAGAGAGAGAGAGAGAGAGAGGTGGTGGTGACCAAGCTCCATGGAAATTAAAGGAAGAGGGGCGTTTGATGAGGAAAAAGCCCAACACATCTTCATAGAAGCGCACAGAAGTCCACACCGATCTCACTAACAAAGATACATGGTTCAGTGATAGAAGAGGCAGTGGCTCACCACCTTCTTCACCCTCACACTCACTCTCACAGCTGCTTATTAATTCCTCCTCTATCACCATTTTTGCACCTTTTTTATTTCACAACTTCTCTGTGTTTTTTCTTTTTCTTTTTGTGTGTGTGTGTGTAACATGAATGAATCTAGTAGTGTAACTCTTTTATAGATGAGAAAATTCCCAAAATGTGGTCGTGCTTTCATTCAAATTTACAGACAATTGTCCTTTAGGACTGACGAACTTTCCTGGCTGATTCTCTCATTTAATAGGACAAATTTGGAAACCCAACAACATAGGATCAATGTCTTGTAAGAACACATAAATTAATTAACATTTTATTTTTTTTTATAATGTGATATTCGGTTCAATAGACTGACTAATTTGAATGGTGACTAAATCATTGTCTACTAACGAGGAACTCATTTAAGTTGGGACAAATTCCGTATAGACAGATCTCAAAAAATTATTTACGCTTAAAAGATTTTGAATCTCAAACTTCAGAAGGAAGCATACAACTTTTCATATAGGATGCAACATATCTTACATATAAAAAAATTGAATATGATTCTATCATCGGTTATATTTTTGGTCTTAAAATGGTGTGTGCGCTAGGAGGAGAGGTTCCAAATAGTTGAGAAGCTTCTTAGATGTTTCGTTTTCGAGTTGTTTTGAATCATGTGATTGCCCAATTTTCTTCATCATGCACATGTCCTGTTGGCTGATATAAATATTTGGCACGCTTTAATCATAGCTCAAAATACTCTCCTTATTCCTTTTTTTGGAGAAAATAGCCTTAAAATTATTTTATCTTATATTTTCATAGGACTGTAATGGACCCTTGATAAATGATATTATCTATTTTCTCTCTATCTTATTTTACAATTAATTGATGATTATATTTTAATGTTGTGCTCTGTTTGTTTTAGTGAAGCATGTTTTTATAAATTATTTTCTATAATTTTTGGTGTTTAGTGTAACAAAAAATGTAGAGTAAAAAAAAAAAAAAATTATTTGGATGAAATATATTTTTCCAATAAGTTTGAAGAGCTTTCTAAGAGTTGAGATCCTCTCCTTGAGTTCTTTCCTTGTCTCTCTACTTGCAACGGTAGAGATGTATCGTGAATTGATTCAACGGTTTAGATTTGGGCAGAAAAAATAAATTTGAATTTATTTTTTTTAATATATATTTTAAATAGCTAAATCTAAATTGTTAGATCAACTCACGGTATATTTCTACCGTTGCAAGTAGGGAGATAAAAGAGAGACTTGAATGAGATGATCTCAACTCTTCCAGCTTACCCAAAATATTATCAAACTAACTTCTGACCCTTATCCAACTGTAACTTGGCAGCCATCTCCTCAGTATGAGGACCACTTTTATTTAAAAAATAAACAATAATAACAATAATTTGTAACAAAGCCCTAGTTTACCACTATTAGGGTTGTGTAAAATATTATTCAATTTATTAAAATTATGTCGATTCATATCAATTCATACCGATTTATCTTTTAATTGTTGATTAAACTTTAAAATTTATAATTCGTATTTGAAGTTGCTCCGTTGTGCTCTAGTTAATACATATATATTGTTAAGATATTTACATACAAGTTCTAATTTATGAACTTATACTCAATAGATTTTTTGGATCTTCAAGTTCTATTAAATTTTTAATAGTCAGAATTGCCCTTCAAATAATGAGTGTTTATCATTTATGACTATTTATAAAGGAATATGATACTTTGACATTTATTTTGATTTTTAAAACTTTAAAATATCAACTTTCAAATTGACAAAAACTTTAAAAAAAATCATGTGAATTTTTTTTTTTGAAAAAATTAAATTTTTTTTGGTGCAAAATTAAAAATTTTGTGTCTATGAAAGGAGCGTAGTGGTGGAACATTAATGTGCAAAACTGGGAAAAAAATACTGATAATGTTCTCAGTTTTAAAATTGAAAAAAACTAATGGTTTGAGTTTTCTGGATTAAGTTTTTTGAAAATTGAGTTTTTTATTTTTCATGTTTTTTTGTTTTTAGTGAATATTTTTAAAATTTTAAATATTTTTTTTAGTTTTTTATATGCACCTTACTTAAATGTATCTAAAAAGTAAAAAATTTGTGAAAAAAAATTTAAAAAATTTATTAAATACATAAAAATACAAAAAATATACTGAATTCCTGTATTTTTTTTTGTATTTTTGGTATTTAGTAATTTTTAAAAGGTTTTTTTCACAATTTTTTTACTTTTTAAGTATATTTATGTTAGGTATAACTAAAAATTTTAAAAATTGCTTAAAATATTAAAAAAATTCATTAAAAACAAAAAAATACGAAAACTAAGAAAGTAGAATTTTCTGAAAACTGTTTTCAGAAAAACGAAACCAAACAAGCTAATGTTCTCAGTTTTATTGGATAGTTGAATCAAACCAATAAGTAAAAAAACAAAAACGTTTAATCCCATGTATTTTTTTTTTTTTTTCTCAGTTAGTGAAACAATTATTTGGAACATTACTATGCAAAATTGATAATGTTTTTAGTTTTAAAAATTGAAAAAAATTGATAATATTCTCAGTTATACTAAATATGACTTATTAGTTCAAAAATCTTAAATAGGACTTGAATTATATAACATTTGTAAATATGACTTTTAGGTAATTAACTCTATATTTTTTAATCTCCAATGAAATATTAAAGTAAAAATGAGTGTGAGATATTTAAGATATAAAATTTATTAAAAATTTATATATGAAATATATTATGTAAAATTAGTTTGTATTATATATAAAAAAAAAAATAGGAGCACTTTCATAAATCCCTTTTCACCTACTTATATTCCATTTAATCTACATTATTATTTTTATATTCCAATAAGTCCTATAGGTAATATAGTTACCAAAATACTCATAATAATATTCACATTTACAGTGTGAATGTTCCGTGATGTGAATGTTCACATTGTCAGTGTGAATATTCACATTGTAAAATATGAATGTTCACATTATCAAATTGCTAACCGTTCAAAAAATATTTATAGGGGTGGAAATGTCCATAAAATACCGTAAATATGAGAATTAGGATTTGGTAGATCAAATGTCCAAATAATAGGACTTATTGAAATACAAGAATATCTTATGGATTAATTGAGATACAAACACTTGAAAAATGATCTTCTAATAAATCTCCCTAAAAAATATTATACAAATTAGTGTTATATATTGTTAATATATTTTATGTTAGTGTATATTAATGTATGCTTACTTTATGCTTACTTTAGTGCTAGTGTTGTTAGCCTTTCGGCTGTATGTAATAATAGTGCTTCGGCCACTCTCAGTCCCTCTCTTATATAAGGAGCCCCTCACCATTTGTAATATACAACATTCAAACATCAATAAATCAATACATAATTTATTCTCTCTCTTTCTCTATCAATTTATCTTACATGGTATCAGAGCTAGGTTAACAACTTAGTAATTCCGCTTCACTGGCAGGCGGCAGCCTCGCCTTGGCCGCCCGCCGGACCTCTACACATACATTCACTCTGCTGCTAACAAATTCCATGGCAGAACTTCACCTTGAAGACACAGAGCATCTGAGCTGAAAACAAAAACAACACACAGCTACACGCATGCACAATCTCTCTTGCTGGTTTTATGTTCGGCAAACTCAACCACCTTTATCACCATCTTCGATCTCTGACCTGAGTTGAGCCACCACGACAACCAACTCCGCTATGTCGGCGGCACCCGCATCATCGCCGTGCACCGCCACACCACCTTGGATCATCTTCTTGGCCTCTCGGACAAACCTCTCTCTTGGATATCACACAAAAACACACCGAGGACTCAAAGCTCTCCAAGCCTCCACAACCCGATTCCACCACATCGGCTCTCCAAGCCTTCTCAGCCGCCTTAGCTCTCTTCTCAATCCTCATCTCTGCGGCTCCCATCCCGTCGGCTTCAGCCGCCATCGCCGGCTTGACTCCATGCAAGGACTCAAAGCAGTTCGCTAAGCACACAGCAGCTGCAGCAGCTGGAGTCGTCGCTCAAACTACTTTCTCCATAGCCCCCTTGGTCTTGGACTCTCTCTCTCTCTCTCCTATCATACACAGAAGGAGATGACAGACAGCATTTTTTTTGGAGCTACACAACACACCCACACACCATACTTTCACACCCCAATACAGACAGCCCGACACCGACCCACACCACTCACATTTTTCGACCCTCTCTCTCTGGTCCCTTTTCCTCTCCATCAGACCCACTTTCGTCATATCCATCATTTGCCTTCATTTATTCCACCCACCAGCGCACATGCTTTCCCCATTAATACCTTTTTATTATTATTATTTTTATTATTCTTATTATTCTTCCCACCAAAAAAAAAAAAAAAAACCATCCACCGCTCAAACTTTATTATTTATTATAACTTTATTTTTTTTATTATCAAGCTTAATTGGTGCTCTTGATTCGCCTTGTTCCCCACTCCCACCTTTATTATTTTTATTCATCATTATCTATTCATCATCACCATGCTCATCAAAAAAAACAAAAAAACAAAAAAAAAAAATTACAAATTTGCACAACAACCCATATTTTATTCATCTCAGGGATCCATCCCGATCCCAATTTTACACCAAAAAAAAAAAAACACACAACCACACCCACAGTGGGATTTTTTCTTTTCCCTTCTCTACTCTACTGCAGGTCTCTTCTTCTTACTTTTATCTTGGGTGTCCCGTGCCAGTCTGGTCTCCGTGCTTCCTAATCCACCGAGCACGTTCACTCCCCCCTGCTCCTCCACTGCAGCATATGGCGGACCTCCAAATCGAAACATCACGGTGGCCTTCCGCTTCAGCTCCTTGTTTTCCGCCTTTAGCACACTTATCTCTGCTCGCGCATCCTTATACATGCGCTGGAGCAGAGCCAGTTGGGCGTTTAACTGCTGCACCTCATTTGTCCTACTCTGCAGCCGGTGCGATAAGTTTGTGACCGCCGTCATGGTCTCTACACATGACTTCAAAGTATACTCATCAATATCAGTTTGCACCGTCATTTTTTGCTCCACAGACCGCATCGGAAAGTTCAACGGAGCAAAACCAGAGGTGTTTGGTTGAGGTTCACTGGCCACCGCACTGGTTATCTC